AGTGTGAGTGTGAGTGTGAGTGTGAGTGTGAGTGTAAGTGTAAGTGTAAGTGTAAGTGTAAGTGTAAGTGTAAGTGTAAGTGTAAGTGTAAGTGTAAGTGTAAGTGTAAGTGTAAGTGTAAGTGTAAGTGTAAGTGTAAGTGTGAGTGTGAGTGTGAGTGTGAGTGTGAGTGTGAGTGTGTGTGTGTGTGTGTGTGTGTGTGTGTGTGTGGGGTGTGTGTGTATATGGATGATTGCATGAAGGTATATGTGTGTGTGTGTGGGTGTTAGGGTTTGTATGTGTGTATTTGTATATGTATTTGGTACCGTTATAGCCCCTCTCTCAGCGTAAAGAACACGTTGCTTAAATGTTATTGAGATTTTAATAACAAATTAGGATCCAGTCAAGGCTTCGTTTGACTCAACCTTATACTGAGAAAATAATTTAACGTTTCCGGTAAGATTTCAGTAATAAAGCAAATAACACTTGGAAGACTAATCGTTTTTCCGGTTAGCGGATAACGTCATTTGTAGAGTAACATTTGTTCTACTCGTTTACCCTTGTCGTTATCGTTATCATGAGCAACCTCTCTCTCTCTCTCTCTCTCTCTCTCTCTCTCTCTCTCTCTCTCTCTCTCTCTCTCTCTCTCTCTCTCTCTCTCTCTCTCTCTCTCTCTCTCTCTCTCTCTCCCCCTCTCTCCCCCCCTCTCTCTCTCTCTCTCTCTCTCTCTCCCTCTCTCCCTCTCTCCCTCTCTCCCTCTCTCCCATTCCCTTTCTCTCTCCCTTTCCCTCTCCCTTTCCCTCTCCCTTTCCCTCTCCCTCTCCCTCTCCCTCTCCCATTCCCTCTCCCTCTCCCTCTCCCTCTCCCTCTCCCTCTCCCTCTCCCTCTCCCTCTCCCTCTCCCTCTCCCTCTCCCTCCCTCCCTCCCTCCCTCCCTCCCCGCTTGTCTCCCCCCTCTCTCTTTGCTTGTTAGTTTATTTTTTTTTCCGAGTACATGTTAATTATTTGATTTTATTAATGTAATCGCATGACTTGGCTACCGCTTGTTCTGTAAGTGTGTATCGCTTATTCGATAAGTATCATCATTTTACAGAAGTATTAACGGCTGTGTGAAGTTAAGCATTGCTAGGACTGGAGCGTTGGGAAGCATAAAGCACGGTACAGAAAAGCCATTAGCGGGCAATTATCTCTCGTCGGCACAGCTGATCGGCCGGGTCACTGTCCGGGGGGTAGGTGAGGGGGGGGGGAGGGAGTCGTTGTGCCTAGGACGCCCCAGTGGCGGCGGCGGCGGCGGCGGCGGCGACGGAAGCTGACAGCTGTTAACCGGGACTCTAGAACAGCTTTTGTCGCTCCCACAAGTGATCAGACTCGATGCAAATGTGATGAGACGGCGGCCGGTGGGGCTCGAGGCTTATCGGGAGAAGAGAAAATATGAGATTGGACAGAACTGAGGAGAGAGGAGAGAAGGGAGGATAGGCGAGAGAGAGAGAGAGAAAAAAAAAATAAGGCAAGTAAGAAGGAAAGGGGATATGTCCAAACACATACGGAATGCTAAGGGGGGAAAATATTCAAAGGAAAGAATTCAGGCGATTCGAACCCGGCCCGTAGTGACGACGCGACGACAGGGCAGTGATGAGAAAAAGCCCTTGGGGGGGAAGGGAGGGGGGGGGGTTGGGACCGAGAGGGGTGGGGGGTGGAGAAATGTCACTTGGGTTTACAAGGGAGACGAGACGCAGGGCCGAGATGAAAGGGCCGAGCTGGAGAAGTCATCAGTGGAGGCCCCGGGGGAGCGTGGGGTTGGGGGTAGGGGAGGGAATCGGAGGGAGGGGTAGGGTAGGGTAGGGAAAGGGATAGGGGGGAGGGGAAAGAGCAGGGGACAGGGGATAGGGGATAGGGGGCTGGAGGGATAGGACGAAGGATAACAGTCATTATTCTTGTACTAACAATTAGGTGATAATGATAGGGAGGAGGACAGGGGGGGGGGAGTATAAGAGGGAGGAACGTGATGGGAAACATACCTTCGCCCCTTACTTGAATGAGTTACCGTAGTTATTCTTCCTGCGGCGCGCGACCTTCAGAAAAAAAAATGCTGAAATTGCACGCGCTCAATTGATGACGGCCTCGCGATCTGGAACTCGTAAAGCAAGCAAGCACCCACGACCTTCCCGACGAGCCGTGGTTCGCTAGGCTTGTAATTCGCACCTTGATAAGGGCGGCGGCGAGACAAGAGTCCCCGGACCGACCCGACCCGACCAAGGTATCCGTTATAGGCCTACCCTGGATCCGAGAATATGCTTTTCTTGCTCTGGTGCTTGGATGTCGCGATTGCAACAGCTGCACGGTGAATACAGCTGTACTTCGTTGGTTTGCTTGCGTGATCTGTGATTGATAGTTTTGAAGAATGGGTTTCATTTTCCTCAGTCCCACCGTTTCCGGTAAGGGTTGCAGCTCACAGACTATAGCTGTAAGGAATAGACGTAAGTTTAGAAGGAAGAGATGAATATACTGATTGATAGGGATGATGGATGTTTAAACAGCATCTCCCCTTTCTTTTTTTGCGCTCTTTCCTTTCCCTTCTCTTCGTTTCCATTTCTTTCCTTCTTTTCGTCTCCCCTTTCCTTTCCCTTCTCTTCGTTTCCATTTCTTTCCTTCTTTTCGTCTCCCCTTTCCTTTCCCTTCTCTTCGTTTCCATTTCTTTCCTTCTTTTCGTCTCCCCTTTCCTTTCCCTTCTCTTCGTTTCCATTTCTTTCCTTCTTTTCGTCTCCCCTTTCCTTTCCTTTTCTTTCCTTTCCTTTCCTTTCCTTTCCTTTCCTTTCCTTTCCTTTCCTTTCCTTTCCTTTACTTTACTTTACTTTACTTTACTTTACTTTACTTTACTTTACTTTACTTTACTTTACTTTACTTTACTTTACTTTACTTTACTTTACTTTACTTTACTTTACTTTACTTTACTTCCCTTCCTTCCCTCCCCTCCGTCCTCTCTCTTCTCTCTCTTTTCCTCTCTTCTTCCTCTCTTCTTCCTTCTCATTTCTTATCTTCTTATCTCTCTTTTCCTTTCCTCTCCCTTCTCATTTCTTATCTTCTTCTTATCTCTCTTTTCCCATCTCTTCTCTTTTCTCTCTCTTATGTCCTCTCCCCTCTCGCCTCTCCTACACCAATACTTCCTTTCTCTGTGACTATCTGTCTTTCATATTAGATGGAAACAATAGACTTGGATGGAGAGACCTAAGCGAAAGCAAAATTCCATCTTTCAGAGAGAGAGAGAGGGAGAGAGAGAGAGAGAGAGAGAGAGAGAGAGAGAGAGAGAGAGAGAGAGAGAGAGAGAGAGAGAGAGAGAGAGAGAGAGAGAGAGACAGACAGACAGACAGACAGACAGACAGACAGACAGTCTGTCTGTCCGTCTCTGAGACAGAGACAAGAAAGAAAGAAAAAGAAACTATTATTGCCTTGCCGAGGTGACTTGGAATGTGTGCGTTCCCGGCTTTCGGGATATCCACTTTAACCGTAATGAAGACGTAAGGAAATCGCAGGTCGTTACGAAAAGGAACGAGAGAAAAAAGGTGGAAAATTCTCCAAACATGTATTTGATGGAGCGGGTGGAAACGGGGACGCGACACCCCACTTTAACCTGACGAGGACATCGGGTTGGCGGGGTTGGGGAGGGAAGGGGAGGGGGAAGAGGGAAGGGGGGGTAGAGGAGGGGGAAGGAACAGTCGGAAGAGACGTAAAGGAGAGAGACAGAGACAGAGACAGAGACAGAGACAGAGACAGAGACAGAGACAGAGACAGAGACAGAGACAGAGAGAGATGGGTAAAGAGGGAAAGTATGAAGGAAACCGCTCAGGGGGACGTGGCAGAACTTGCCTTATTTCTATAAAGGGAGGGGGATAGGATACCTGTGTAGTTGATTGATAGGCGGTCCATGTCGCCGAGTGGTGTTTGTATCCACACCTGTAAGAGATTCATCAAACTGCCCAAGGCGTGTGTCATCGTCGTGTCCATCTCGTAAACGCTGCCTTTGTGTAGCCATTATCACTCACCGTAAATAGCCGTGACCCTAGCCAGATAGGGCGAGAAAGGGTTAGGATAAAGGGCGATTTTGGCCCAAAATGTTCGGCGTCTCGGGAGAGGCACCGCGGCATAGCACGAGTAATACTTCGCTTGACTGGGTCGCAGCCGGCGGCAGGGCGGCTCCCTCCCGCTTCGGCGAGGAAAGCCCTTCGCACCGACGCCTCTGCACCGGAACACGGGCGGATATTGGAGTTGTAGTGACGGAGTATGGCGACGGTGACGGCTGATTTGTAGAGCGGATGATGGCCTTGGGAGCGTGATGAAGGGGAACGCGAACCGTCGAGAGATGTGGTTTTATACTTGGCTAGGACGAGACGAACGGTTTAGCATCCTTTATGAAGGAACGCGGTTGGGGGGGGGGGCATTGTAATTGTCTAGCATTGTTTCGTCTGTGCTTTGTACATTTCTTTGCCCAGATGACAGTAATCTTTCCCTTGTTACGTCTTTAGCCGACGAAATAGATCTGAATGGCCAATTTTTTTTCTAAGGTTAATCGAAATGTCTATCAAGGGAGCTAATATATATATATATATATATATATATATATATATATATATATATATATATATATATATATATATATATATATATATATATATATATAACAATGATCTCAATGGTTTTGTACTTTCCAATGTTGTTAAAGACAATTTAGTATTGTGAAGTGTAATACGATGACTTAAAGAAGCACTATGTGGTGGGCAGAGTGCTTGAACAGTGGAGGCACGTTGAGAGACAACGTAGGTGTGTTCCGGGGTGCCATTATGTAGACTGCATGCAGCACTCGATCGTAGTTTCTCCTAATGGCAACAAACGAATGTTGTAGGCACGCTTCAAACGGAGAAAACCTCGTTTGATTTTCTGCCTCTTTTCTTGATGGTATATTGATTAACAAGCCAAATTGCCTTATTAATACCAACTCGCTGATCCGTTTTATTTCCTCTTTCGCAGGTCTTCCTGACCCATTTGCCAAAATAAGTGTAGAGGGGTCAGGACAATGCCACTCCACAGACACATGCCGCGCCACACTCGACCCAAAATGGAACCAGTATTATGACCTGTAAGTATACAAGTTGTGTTTCGTTTTACTCAGGTGCGAAACCTCACAAGGAATCCTTTATTGTATCTCGGTGGAGGATCGACCTCTCCCCCCCCCCTCCCCCTCATGCTTTCTCCTCCCCCTCTCCCCATACCCTATGCCCACCTCCTCGCCACAACACCCACATCCTATACACTCCTCTTCTCCCTCCCCTCCTCTCCCCCCCCCTTTCCTTCGTCTCCTCCCGGTCTTTGAAACGCAGAGGTAATGCCACTGTCACTGAAGCGCGTTGCCCTTCGTTTCGTCTTTCTGTTTGGACAGGGCGAGTGAGGTCTTTCCCGGCCAATGAGGTCGACAGGGATAGAGCACAGGGTGGTATTTGAAGCAGAGCAAGCAAGAGGCACTGACGGATTGTAGGGCGGTTTAGTAGCTAGAGTTAAATGGGTCTGTTTTCAAGGGAGAAATTGAAGATTTTTTGTTATTGTGCGAGTATGTGGGACGCTGTCTGTGTTCTGAAGAAGATCGGTGTCTGGCTTCGGAGGAACAACATGAGTGAGACGCAAACATTGTGGTGTTGTGTTGTCCCCTTTGGCGATACGTGCAGGGGGAGTGTTCGCCCTTTGCCAGCCCGCTCTGCCCCTCGCTCTCTTGCCATTGCTCGTACCATGATCCTTTCCTTTCGCCTTCCCATTCCCTTCAACTTTCCCCTTTCCCTTCCCCCTTTCCCCATTCCCCTTCTCCCCTTCCCCTTCCCCTTCCCCTTCCCCTTCCCCTTCCCCTTCCCCTTCCCCATTCCCTCTCCCTTTCCCTCTCCCTTTCCCTCTCCCTTTCCCTTTCCCTTCCCCTTTCCCTTCCCCTTTCTCTTCCCCTTTCTCTTCTCATTCCCCACTCTGCTCCCTCCTTTTCCCTTTTCACTCTTTTATTTTCCATTCTATATCCCTTAGCCTCTTCTCTCCTCTCCCTCCTCTTCTTTTGCTCTCCCTTTCCCTCTCCTAGCTCTCCCGTTCCTCTCCTTACGGTTTTCCATTGCTCGCGTGCTTTCTCTCCCCCCCCCCCAACCATGTCATGCCTCCCTCGCCTTCCACCCCCCCTCCCCACCTTCACCCCCCCCCTCCCCCCATTCCCTCCTTGAGCCATTGTTGCAGGCTCTCTCTCGCCCCTTTGGACTGGAGGGTCTTAATAGTGTGAGTAGTCGTTCCAGCAGTGAACTAACAGCACAATAGCAAGCACAAGTATCACGCGCGAACCCACCTCTGTTGTTCCCCCTTCCCTCCCTCCCTCCCTCCCTCCCTCCCTCTCCTTCGCTCTCTCCCTCCCTCATCTCCTTCGCTCTCTCCCTCCCTCATCTCCTTCGCTCTCTCCCTCTCCCTCTTTCCCCGTCTCTCCGTTTCTCGTTCGGACCCTCCTTCCCTCCTTCCGTCTCCTTGTCCCTCCTTCCCTCCTCCTCCCTCCTCCCTCCCTCCCTCCCTCCCTTCCCTTCGCCCTCCCGCCCTCGTCTTCCCTCCCGCCCTTTTCGCCCTTTTCGCCCTCCCGCCCTCGTTCTTTCCCTTCTTCCCTCCCACACACTTCCTTTCTTCCATCTTTCTTTTCTTCCGTCCCCTTGTCTCTCCGACCGTCCGTCCTTCCGTCCCTTTTCCCCCCTTCTCTCCCTTCACTCCCTCCCAATTTCTTCTTTCTTTCCTTCCATCCTTCTTTCCTTCCATCTCTTTGTCTTGCCGACCGTCCGTCCGTCTGTCTTGTCTTCGCCTCGCCTCCCCACCCCTCTCCTTCCCCCTCCCCTCCCTCTCCTCTCCTCCCCTCTCCCCTCCTCTCCCCTCCCCTCTCCTCTCCCCTCCCCTCTCCTCCCATCTCCTCCCCTCTCCCCTCCCCTCTCCTCCCATCTCCTCCCCTCTCCTCTCCCCTCCCTTCCCCTCTCCTCTCCCCTCTCCTCCCCTCTCCTCTCCCCTCCCCTCCTCTCCACTCCACTCCACTCCTCTCCCTTCTCCCCCCCCCCCCCCCTCCCACGACGAATACCGCTAGGGTTTTAAAGCGGGCGCTCTCGGTCTCGCTTTTGGCTCGCTCGTCTTCTTTCAACCTTTGACACCTCCCCCCCCTCTCTCGCTGTCTCTCTGTCTCTGTCTCTCTCTCTCTCGCTGTCTCTCTCTCTCTCTCTCTCTCTCTCTCTCTCTCTCTCTCTCTCTCTCTCTCTCTCTCTCTCTCTCTCTCTCTCTCTCTCTCTCTCTCTCTCTCCCTCTCCTTCTCCCTCTCCCTCTCCCTCTCCCTCTCCCTCTCCCTCTCCCTCCCCCTCCCTCCCTCCCTCCCTCCCTTCCTCCCTCCCTCCCTCCCTTCCTCCCTTCCTCCCTCCCTCCCTCCCTCCCTCCCTCCCTCCCTCCATTCCTTTCTTCCCTCCCTTCCTCCCTCCCTCCATTCCTTCCTCCCCCTCCCCCCTCCCCTCCCCCTCTCTCCCTCCCTACCTACCTCTCCCTCTCCCTCTCCCTCTCCCTCTTTCTTCGATTTTGTTCCCTTTCTCTTCCGCAGTTTCTTTGCTTGTCGTTTTTTCCACACCACTTACCCCTTTCCTTCCACCTTGCTGTATCTTTCCTCCTTCCCTTTAATCTCCGCCAATTTACGGCTTCCCCCTTCCTCTCTTCCTTTTCTGTCTTTCTCTTATTTTCCCTCGTTTCCTTTCTCTCGTCAATATATGCTTTGTTTATAGCCACGTATTGTCCTCCCTCTCGCTTTTCCCTTTTTTCCTCTTTCCTTTCTCCTCTCTCCTCTCTCTTTCTCTCTCCTCCCCTTCTCTTTCCTAGCCTCTGTTCTGTCCCTCTCTCTCTCTCCTTTTCTCCCTCTCTCTCTCTCCTTTTCTCCCTCTCTCCTCTTCCTCTCTTCCTCTTCCTTCTGTGACTTTCCCTCTCCTTCTTCTCCCTCTCCCCCTTCCTCTCCTTCTCTCTCCCCTTTCCTCGCCTTCACCATCCCTATCCCTATCATTATCCCTTCTCCCCCCCCCTCTCTCTCCCTCTCTCTCTCTCTCTCTCTCCCTCCCTCCCTCCCTCCCTCCCTCTCCCTCTCCCTCTCCCTCTCCCTCTCCCTCTCCCTCTCCCTCTCCCTCTCCCTCTCCCTCTCCCTCTCCCTCTCCCTCTCCCTCTCCCTCTCCCTCTCCCTCTCCCTCTTCACATCATCCTCTTCGTCTTCCGCTCGCATTTTAAAGTTCTGTGCCTCATCGCCGTCTCGCCCTTAGTGTCTGCGGCCGTTAGTGGCTGTGTGTGAAGTCGGAGTTCAAGAAGAAACTCGGCTGGAAACTGGCGTTGCCTTGGCTGGTTACTCGCTAAACGGAAGGGTTGGTATTCGGGTGGTCGGAGGTAGGGGGGAGGTGGCGTTGCTGGGGTGGAGGGTTTTGTGTGGGTGGGCGAAGGGGAGGCGGGATGTGTAGTTCAAAAGAGTGATATGTTTGAGGGTAGGTTGGGAATGGGACCGGGAATTACAAAGAGAAGAGGAAGAAAGAGAGGAAGATGGGGAGGAAAAAACAACAAAAGAACGAGATAAGAAAGACAACTAATGTATCAAAGGAAACAAATAATTGCTCATCACCGGAAGTAAAGGGAAGGGATGAGCTGGAAGTGGGAGGGCAGGGCCGCAGGCGAAGGGCAAGGGAAAGGGCAGTGGAGCATTGCAGACTGGCACCGAGGGAGGGAGTAGGTGAACCGAGGGTGAGTCAGCAAGGAGCCTGCCATTGATCCCAGTGCCCGAGTCGCCCACCGGCTGGGGAGATGATGGGGCGCCTGGTTGCTGATGGCAGGGCGGGGAGAGGGTTCGCTCCCGCCGCGTCAGGGACTGATGAAAGCGTGAGCCTGACGGGGAAGAGTCACCGTGGGTCTCGTCTGCCCGGGTTCACGTTGTTGGCACTCGCGCCCGAGGGATCCGCCGATGCTGCTCGATCTTGAAGCTGGGAAGATTCGCTCCCTTGCCCCTGAGCCGGCGCTGCCACTGCCGCCCTTGTCGTCCCTGAAAATGCTAATGACATTCTTGAATCCAGGTGTAGTCGTTCGCTGCCCTGGGGTAGAGGCGACGGCGCTTTAACTGCACATCAGCCCCGGCGTGTTAGGCTTCTGACCATGTCAGTGAGTTTCCTGTAGATCTCTCCCGGCCTCTTATGGACGGCGCAGGTGGTGCGCGGGGCAGCTGTGTTGTTTGCCAGCTGCGTTCGCCGCCGTAGGTACTGCCAGGACAGATCCTTGTACTTGGTACACTGGCTTTGAAGTTTCAGTTGGAAAGGGAAGTCCGACTAATAGTAAAGGAACGAGACGTCTGGTGCATTATGCGCACCGAGGACGCCCACACCATTTGCCTGAGACGAATGTTAACGGGCGGCCAGCGACGGTCAGTCGAAAGTCCTCGCTTTTACGAAGAAGTGGAACTCGCAAGGATATGTTCGACGAGCTGGAAGTGCGCGACGGAAGGCGAGAAGCGGCGAAGACATTCCGGGACAAGGCCTCCGAAAGTGTGCATGATTCACCGGACAAATATTTACTGCGAGCTGGTCCGTTGGGCGGCGGAGGGAGATGATCCGAGTAAACACGGCGTGATGAGCCCCGTTGTAGGGGTGTAACAGGTTCCTTGAGCGGGGTGCACCACGGCGGGCGGCGGCGTCCTCGGGGGGCGTCTGCCGAGTGCGGCCTTGCGGAATGTCCTTCGGGTCGACTGGGGAATCGGTGCTGGGCATTCGCCGCGTCAAATATTAAAGAGGCAGGAGGTATTTTTATAGTTCCGCCTTCGCAGATTAGATAGACGATGCGTTTTCTCAATGCATGTATTCTGTCGTTGATGAAGGTCTGTTGTTACACCATTTTGCAATAAGCTTTGTGCGGAAGCCAGCTAAGCGTGTTCTTCCTTTTTCTTGATACAGGGGAAAGTATGTGCTGCACACTTGAAAGGGATAGTTACTTGCACGGTAATGGTGTGCCCGAGACAATGCTGTTGTAAACTGTGCTGCAGAGATGATGAAAATCTTGTTACCGCAACGTATTTCCATTTTTTTTATATAC